CCATCCATCCATCCATCCATCCATCATCCATCCATCCATCATCCATCCATCCATCCATCCATCCATCCATCCACTGAGCCCCATTCCCACACTTGGGAAGGTTCAGAGGTGGAGGAGGAAGGTGTGAGGGAAAGGAACTTTGGGGAGCACCTTCTCCTCCCCTCCCTGGCTGCTTTTCTCACTCCCTTCTGCTCCTGTCACATTGCCACGCCCGGGCAGGTACCGAGCAGTGGCGTCCTGGAGCCGGATCCAGGGCATTGGGATTCCCATGTGGAAGGCCGTGGAGGTGCTGCTGATCTGGGCCGTGGCCATCGTGCTGGCAGTGCCCGAGGCCATCGCCTTCGACATGGTGGAGCTGAGCTACTGGGAGCAGCACCTGTGGGTGTGCATGCTGGCCTCGGAGCAGAAATCCCGCTTCATGAGGGTGTGTGTGCATCCCCATCCCAATCCCAGTCCCAATCCCAATCCCAATCCCAATCCCAATCCCAATCCCAATCCCAATCCCAATCCCAATCCCAATCCCAGTCCCAATCCCAATCCCAATCCCAATCCCAATCCCAATCCCAATCCCAATCCCAGTCCTGCTTCATGAGGGTGTGTGCATCCCTAGCTACTCCTCCCAATTCCAATCTCCCCATTTCCAGCTGCTCCCTCTCCCTTTCCCCCGCAGTTCTACCGGGATGTGAAGGACTGGTGGCTTTTTGGCTTCTATTTCTGCCTGCCCTTGGTGTGCACGGGCGTCTTCTACACCCTCATGTCCTGCGAGATGCTGAGCAAGAGGAACGGGATGAGGATCGCTCTGAATGACCACATGAAACGGGTGAGAGATCCAGGGAGGAGCCCTGGGATTCCCAGGGAGGAGGGAGTGATCCTGGAGCGGGGACCATCCTGTCCTGTGTCCTGTGAAGGACAGGATGAGCTGGCCAAGCCTCACAGCAGACCTTGGCACATTGGTACAGGGAATACACCAGGGAAAAGGGCCTTCAGCTCATAATCTGCAGCCTCAGGGATGACCCCAAACCTTTCTGGCCACAGCCCAGCTTCACTAAAGCTCTCCTGGTCCTTTATCCACTCTGGACCAAAGGCTGGATGTGCCAAATCCCCGACAAGGGTTCACTGTCCCCTCCCACGCTTTGGGAATGATTCCCTGAGGAGCTCCAGCTGGCTGTCACCCTAAGAGTGTGAGGGCTGGATGGAGGAGGGCCCGAATTCCCGGGAACACCATCCCAGCAGAGCCACCAGGAGCAGGGCTGGGGAGGCCGTGCCCCTTTCTGCAGCCTGGACCTGCTGCAGGGTTCCAGGAGCAGCCTGTGTGGAAGATGTCCCTGGCCATGGCGGGATGAATGAGCCTTAAAGTCCCTTCCAATCCAAACCATTGCACAATTCCACATCTTGGGCCCTGCTCCCCAGTGCTCACCCTCCCCCTGCCCCTGTCTGGCAGCGCCGGGAGGTGGCCAAGACCGTCTTCTGCCTGGTGGTGATCTTCGCGCTCTGCTGGCTGCCCCTGCACCTCAGCCGCATCCTCAAGAAGACCATCTACGACCAGACAGACCCCAACCGCTGTGAGCTGCTCAGGTAGAGCCCCCAGCAGGTGACACCGGCCTGGGAGCCCCGGTGGGACCAGCACGGGCCCTCTGGGGCTTGGACCACACTGGGGGAGTTGCCTTCCACCTCCTGCTCTCAGTAATTCCTTGTCTAGACGGCACCGCCCTCCTGATGGGCACAGAGAGGGCTGGGGGGGCATGAGAAAGGTTAAATTAAATTTGGGAATGTCTCGGTGAAGCTGAGGTCTCCTGGGCATGGGAACATTCCCAGCAGGGCCCAGGGCTCCTCACTTTCTGCCAGGTGTGAGGTGCCTGTCTCCTTCCCCTTGCAGCCATCAGCCAAAATCCAGCCCAGGCCAGGCCCTGCTGTGCTGGGGTTTGGGAACATCAGGAGCACCAGGAGAAATCAGAGCTCGTGTTCTTGACTTCCTCAGGGAATGCTCCTCACAAGAAAAGTTGTTCTTCTTCGGGAAGGATGGATTTGTGCCCAGCTCTGTCACCAGCCACTGCTCCTCCACGGAAGCAGGATCCCAGGCCAGGCAGTTTGGAAATTCCCACTGTTCCCCACCAGCTTCTGACACATCTGTTCTCTCCCTTCCCACCTCAGTTTCCTCCTGGTGATGGATTATTTCGGGATCAACATGGCCTCCCTCAACTCCTGCATCAACCCCGTGGCTCTGTACTTTGTCAGCCGGAAATTCAAGAACTGCTTCCAGGTAGGAACGAGCCCTCCAGAGCTCCTGCCCGCCAGGCCCAGGGGCACAAGCTGATCTCATTCCTCATCCCAAATTCTCCCTGTTTGGTACCTCTCTTCTCCAAGTACACCAGAGATCAGTGCCCTGCTGGGGGGAGGCTTTTGCCAGAGCAGGATTTAGGACAAGCCAAAAATTCCCTGTTGTTCTGGGGCAGGAACATCCCCAGGAGCAATCAGGGGCTGGGGCTGCTCCAGACTCTGAACCCAAGATGCTGGGAGAGAATTTTCAGGAGCAGTGAAGCCCTGAGAAAGAAAGGGAAGGAGATGGGATGAGATGGGCTGGGATGGGATGGGATGGGATGAGATGGGTTGGGATGGGAAGGGAGTTGAGCCCAGCTGAACATCACCTGTATTTTCTGTTCCCTAATGATGAGAACGCAGAATTACCAAAAATGCCCCGAATTTCAGTATCCTCATTTCCCACCCTCACCAGCCCTATCCTGGAAAACCTGCTCCCAGCAGAGCTGCAGGACAGCAAGGCTCAGCAATTCCCAGCCTGGTGCTGTGCAGGGACGCCTGCTGGCACAAACATGGGAATATTTCCTCCTCTTTTCCCATATCCCACACGTGTGATCTCCCCACCTTGTGTCTCCCCAGTCCTGCCTGTGCTGCTGGTGCCAGAGGCCGGCCCTGAGCATCACCCCCACGGATGAGAAGGGATCTGTTGGGAAGTGGAAAGCCACGGGCCAGGAGCTGGGGCTGGACCGGAGCAGCTCCCGCCTGAGCAACAAGTACAGCTCTTCCTAAATCCCTGCCACCATCAAGGACAAGGCACAAGGACAGCGGGGCCCCTCCGATCCTCTCCCAGGCTCTTCCTGGCTGGGCCTGAATCAGCTTTGCCTCCATGTCCTACCCCAGCTGGAAGGAGCTGGAGCAGCTCCAAACCCAGCCCCTGACCCCAGCGCTGCAGGACAGGGAAGGGCATTCACATCCTCACGGGATCTTTCACTTCCTCGCAGGAAAAACAAGGGACCTCTGGCCATTTCGGAACGTGGGGCGTGGGGAAAAGCGTGCGGGAAGGGAAGGAAGGTTGGGGTGGTCACTCTGAGATGGATGTGGGGTGAGGAGGAGAGGGAGAGCGACAATTCCCAGCTGGAAAAGCCAACCAAAGCTTGGATAAATCCCTGTGAGGGACAGAGATGTCCTGGTGGTCACGTGGAGGTGGGAAAGGCAGTGGAGAAGGTCCAATCTCAGCTGGAAGAGCCACTGGAACCGTCTCAAATATGGGAAAGGGCTCTCTCCAATTTATTATTGGCAATAATCCATCCTCACATTTACATGCCAATAATTCATCCCTAAAAAAAAAGTGATTTTCCAGCAATTTTCAAGGCCAGGTTGGACAGGGCTTGGAGCACCCTGGGACAGTGGAAGGAGTCCCTGCCCATGGCAGGGGTGGGAGGAGAGGGAGTGAAGGTCCCTCCCAACCCAAACCAGTCTGTGATTGCAATCCATGTGATTCCATGTGACTGTGAATCCATGTGATTCCATTCTAACGTTCTTGCCAAATTTTTCAGAAAAACCACATGAAAAAGTTGTATTTACCAGGTTTGTGATGATTTTTTTGTTGCTTTTCCCACATCTCTCCTTTCCCTCTCTCTCCTTTCCCTCCTTCCCCCTTCTTCCTTGTCATGGGAAAAAATGGAGAGAGGAAAAGGAGAGACAAGAATTGTAATTAAAATGTTTTCCAGGTGTTGGGGTGGATTTTTAGCTTAACTTTCACTGAAATGTAAATATTTTACAAATAAATCATAAAGACAAATGTGTTTCAAGGAAAACAGAGACTGAGGAATATCAAGACCAGCCCATTTTCCATAAATTTCCCAATCTGTGGAGCAATCTGTGTCCACATTCTTTGACCTTCCACCCCTGTGCTGAGCAGGACACAGCATCCTCTGCAGCAACTAAATTAATAAACTTTATTATTAAAAAAAATACATTTATTAATAAAGAAAATACTCGTTTGGACACAGGGAATTCAACACACAGAGGTTACACATCCATGGACATCCATGCCATTCCCAAAGGCTACTGCATCTCCTCCTCCTTCTGTGCTCTGAACTCCTTCATGCTCCTCTGAAACAAGAGCAAAGCACAGATGTCACCAGAATGTCCCTGGGGTAGCACGGAGCCACCACCCTGCTGTGCTGGGCTCCTCTGCCTGGAGCCTGGAAAGGCTGGGAAGCTCTGCCACAGCTCCAGGTGCTTCTGGAAGTGACTGAAGCTTTACAATCACTGCAAGGGAAAGGGAGCCAGGCCATGCCATGGGTCAGGCAGAGCCTGTCCAAAAAAACTCCCAGGTTTTCCTGCCAAAGGTGTCTCCAACCTCAGCCTCCTGCTCTGGGATCAGGGGCCAGAAGTGACCCTGAGCCCTCCAGGAATGGCCCAAGGGCCAGAACTGACCCTGAGCCCTCCAGGAATGTCTCACCTCAAAGGTGTTGAGCACATGCTGGCAAACACCCATCAGGTCATTCAGGCCTTTCCGGAATGGCTCCACAGCAGGAAGGGTCCCTATGGGAAAAGATGGGAGAAGATGGATTAGAGAGATGGGAGGTGGCTTCCCAAGGGCTGTCCTCAGCTCCCCAGGGGTGTGCCCTCTTCCCAGCCCCACAACTCGGGGTGCCAGGGCTGCTCCCAGCCAGCCCAGGTGCCTGGAGCCAGGGATGCTGCTTCCTGCTGCAGAGGGCAGGCAAAAAGGGCTTTTCCTTATTTAACAGACTCCTGGTGGGAAGCTGGCACGAGCAGGGGGAATCCCACGAGGACAGGGACACAGCCTCACCTCTGGTCTGGATCCTGAAGTTGATCTTGCTTTCCGAGGGGTGTGTGATGCAGTAGCCACAGAACTCCACGTCAGGGCTGCAGGAGGGCAGAGAGGAGAGGGAGCAGTGAAACCCAGCCCAATCCATGGCAAATCCCAGGGGAGTCAGAGGCTCAGGGCACCCCAGGCCTGCTGGGGCTCTGGATGTTTCTAGAATGACTTAGGGGAGGGATGTGCTGCGGGCAAACTCCCTGTGTGACCTTGTTCCCTCACACCCATCTCTCTGTGAGCTGAGCTGGAGCTCTGCACGGCAAGGACACGGCTGGCACCACAACCAGAGCAGTGCCAGCTCTGCAGATCCAAACATGGGATCCTGGATGCCTGGAACTCTCCCTGTAACCAAACCTGCTGCTGCTCTGCTGGGTGGAACAGGCTGAGTGCTCCAGGGAACTGGAAGAGTTCCCAAAATGTTGCAGGGCCTCTTCCTCCAGCTGAGGAACTCCACTGAGCTGAGTGCTGGAGCTTTGCCCCCAGCTTTGGCTGGCAGTTTCTTTTGTGTCATCACAGTGATTTATCAAAGGGGCCTTAAAGCCCATCCAGTCCCACCCCCTGCCATGGCAGGGACACCTCCCACTGTCCCCAGGCTGCTCCAAGCCCTGTCCAACCTGGCCTGGGACACTTCCAGGGATGGGAAATCCACAGCCTGTCTGGGCAGCAAATGGAGTCCAGGACTCAGCTACTCCTCCAGCAGCTCAGGAGGGACTGAAAGCCCTGGGCTGAGCTTAACTTGAGCTCTTGGGCAGGGGAGGGTGTGGGTGGAGGCTCAGGGGAGGCTGGTCAGGCCCCTCAAGGGCTGTTGGTGCTCTCAGGGTCCTGCCACAGCACAAGGAAAAGGAGGAGCAGCAGGTGGGAGCTGACACAAACACTGGACACAGAGGGAATTTGGGATTATCCCAGTGAAAGCTGAGGTGTGGGTCAGGAAGGAGAAGGCCAGAGCAGGGCATGGATGTCCCTCGGAGGCCCCACTCACTTCTTCATGACCATGTAGCGCAGGGAGTTGCCCAGGGTGTGATCCTCGTCGTGCAGCACGAACGTGACGCAGTTCCCGTCCGTCCCATCCGCCTGGATCTGCCAGCAGCAGAAAAGAGGAGAAGCTGTGAGCTCCCTCCAGCAATGGGAAGAGAGGAGAAGCTGTGAGCTCCCTCCAGCAGCAGGAACAGAGGAGAAGCTGTGAGCTCCCTGAGGTCAGGGACACCTGAAGGGTGAGGACCAGCTCCCACGCTCAGCTCCCCAGAGTAACTGGGAGGGTTGTAGATCTCGCTGGGCCACCTCTGGTGCTGCTGGGGGAGCAAAACACCTTCCGAGAGGAGGGAAAGCTCCAAAATTCCACCAGGTGTTAAAGCAGGTTCAAAGACCTGCTGTTGTGTTCCCCACAGGATGATGGCAGGGTGTCCCTTGGAGCCATCCTGACAGGATTTGTCCTGGTCCCGATGCCACCCCACCGCACGTGAGGCTGCCCTAGCACTTAGCCAGCCTTGGGTGAAATGAATTGGGCAGGACTAGAGGTCCTTTTTAATGGGGATGACACACTCATGGAAGCACGGGATGGTTTAGGCTGGAAGAACCCTCCAAGAGCACCGAGCACAGCCTGCCCAGCCCATGTCCCCGGGTGCCACATCCACACACGGCTTTAAACCCGACGGGCACTCCACCACTGCCCAGGGCCAGGGCTGGACAGCCCTTCCCACCAAACCTTCTCCCCTAACATCCCCCCTAACCCTCCCCTGGCACAATATTCGTGCTAGTTCAGGGTAAACTGGGGAGAAAACTTCCGAATGGAAGCAACCGAATGGTGGAAGAACCCGCTCCACCTCCCGTGAGGGAGCGAGCGCGGCCCCGCCGACCCCGACCCCGACCCCGACCCCGGCCCCGAGCCCGGTGCCGCTGTCCCACGTCCCCGTGCCCCTCACGGTTTCCAGCGCGGTGCCGGTGCCGGTGCCGGCCATGGCTGTTCCGGGCCCTCAGCCCCGGGCTCCCGGCGGCCCCGCGGCCGGAAACGCGTCGGGGCCGGGCCGGGCCGGGCGGGGCCGAGCGGGGCCGGCGGGGCCCGGAGCGCCGGTGAGCGCGGGGGGCTCCGGGCCGGGGCTTTGTGTGCGGGGTTCTGCGGGGTTTGGTGCGGGGTTCTGCGGGGTTTGCTGCGGGGTCCGGCCGGGCACAGCCCCAGCTCCAGCCCCGCGGGCGGCAGGCGCTGCCGGCCGGAGGAGGCCGCGCTCGGCAGCGGGGGCAGCGGGGTTACTGGGGTGATACTGGGGTGATACTGGGGTGATACTGGGGGGTCATGGGAGCGCTGCTGGGCCATGGCACTGCTGCTGGGCCATGGGAGTGCTGCTGGGCTGGTACTGGCCTGTTACTGGGGTGATATATCATGGTGTTACTGGGGTGATACTGGCGTGTCATGGGACTGCTGCTGGGCTGTTACTGGGCTGTTATGTCGCGGTGTTACTGGGGTGATGCTGGCCTCTTACTGCGGTGTTATATCGTGGTGTTACTGGGGTGTTGTTTCCGTGTTACTGCTGTGTTACGGGGGGTGTTATTTCCGTGTTACTGGGGTGTTACTGGGGTGTTATATCATGGTGTTACTGGGGTGATGCTGGCCTCTTACTGGGGTGTTATATCGTGGTGTTACTGGGGCATTAGTGCCCTGTTACTGGGGTATTATTTCCGTGTTACTGGGGTGATACTGGCGTGTTATATTGGGGTGTTAGTGGGGCATTAGTGGCCTGTTACTGGGGTGTTGTTCCTGTGTTACTGCTGTGTTACTGGGGGTGTTATTTCCGTGTTACTGGGGTGTTACTGCCCTGTTACTGGGATATTACTGGCCTGTTACTGCCCTGTTACTGGGGTGTTACTGGTGGGTCATACAGGGCTGTTACTGCTGTGTTACTGGGATGTTATTGCCCTGTTACTGGTGTGTTACTGGCCTGTTACTGGTGTGTCATTGCCATGTTACTGGGGTGTTATTAGTGTGTTACTGGGGTGTTACTGGGATGTTGTTTGTGTGTTCCTGGCTTGTTACTGGGGTGTTACCCATGTATTACCAGCATGTTATTGAGGCGTTACTGGTGTGTTACTGGTGTGCTACTGGTGTGTTACTGGTGTGTCTGGGAGGGGACAGTGTCAGGGATTTAGCACTGCGTGGCTTAATTAGTTAGTTAATTAATCAGTGAATCACTGGTGGGGTGCGGGGAGGCTGGAGGGGGTCGGGCTCTGCTCCCAGGGAAGAGTGACAGGATGGAGCTGTGCCAGGGAGGTTTAGCTGGGATATTGGGAATATTCCCACCTGGAAAGGGCTGCCCAGCCCTGGCACAGCTGCCCAGGGCAGTGGTGGAGTGCCCATCCCTGGAGGGATCTAAAAGCCACATGGATGTGGCACTTGGGGACGTGGGTTAGGGAATGGTTGGACTCGATGGTCCTGGAGGGCTTTTCCAGCCTAAACAATTCCCTGATCCCGTGCTTTGGGCTGCGTGTGTTCCCTTTTTAGAGAGCTGCTTACTCGATCACCGCTGTGTTGTGTGTCCTTTCCCCCCTCCAAACCCTGCAATGCTGCTTCCAGGAACGGTGATGGGGCTGGAAGAGCACGTGGAGTCATTTCCTTGGTGATTTGTTTCCACAGGGATGCAGTGGGGGAACCTGAACTAAACTCTGTGTGCAGAAGGGAAGCCGAACCTGGGATAAGTTGGAGCACAAATGTGGCAATTCCCAGGCTCAAAACGAGCAGGAGAGCGCCAGGGCTTCACGCTGGAATATTCTGTAATGAAATAATGATTTTTCCAGCTGGCCAGCAGAGGTTAAAGGGAAGCTTGGGCTGCTTTCTGCTGAGCTCACCCTGCTCAAACGATCTCTTTATTGCAGCAGTTTGCAGCTCTCTGGATTGCAACACCTCCCCTTGTTCCGTGATTAAACAGCAGCGTGGTGCCCTTTGCCTTCTGTAAGAGGATTTCTGGAAGTGCAGGCAGGGACCTTCCGTGGCTCACTGGCACTGAGCTGGGAATCTTCTGGACCAGAAGAGTCGCTGGAAAACAGCAAATCATCCTTACAGGAGTCTGAAACATCGTGCTGGGGACTTGAGCCTGTGTGTCTGATGCTCCTTAAAAGGCTTTTCTGTGCCTTTTTTCCGTGTCCTTGTATTAGGAAGGAATTGTTCCTGGCAGGGTGGGCAGGCCCTGGCACAGGTGCCCAGAGCAGCTGGGGCTGTCCCTGGATCCCTGGAAGTGCCCCAGGCCAGGCTGGACAGGGCTTGGAAAACCCTGGGATGGTGGGAGGGTGGCAGGGGTAGCACTGGGTGGGCTTTGAGGTCCCTCTTACCCAAACCCTTCTGTGTTTCTAGGATCCTTCAGTTAAATCCCAGAGGCGCCTCTGACAGCAGCTCGTGCATCTTGCAGTGTCTTTTTGGAAGGTTTGGTCTTGGCTGCTTCCAGCTGTGTAATATTGTAAGTTTAGATAGAAAAAAGCTCCTCAGAGGGGTTGATTGGAAGGGATTTCGTGGCTGTAACTGCTGAGGAAGGACGTTCTGTAGCAGTTTAACAGATTTGTGTTACTAGCAGGAGTAGCACACGGCTGGTACGGGGCTGCTCGGGGAGAAAAGTGCTCCTTGTTAATCTCTTTTACTCCATTGAACCAGTTCTGCCCAGAGCTGGGGCTGCTGTTACTGCAGAGCACGGGGCTCTGTGTCCTCAGTACAGGACCAGGAATTTGGGGAGCTGAGGAGTGAATGTGGGGAGCTGAGGGCTGTGAATCCAGGGAGGTGAGAGCCGTGGGCTCAGGGAATTGAGGACTGTGGGATCCTGCAGTGCCAGCGAGTGTCACCTCAGGGCTGTGAGTTCCACCAATATCTGATAATAAAAGAACAGAGATTTGCCTCGTCCACTCCCCAATCCTCAGTTTGGGGCTGCATTTGTTCTGCCAGGGGGCTGAGGTGTCAGTGTGGGCTCTGTACCCCGAGTTTCAGCTGGTCCTGGCAGGGCAGGGGACGGGTTTGGGGATGTGTTTTCTGGTACAGCTGCTCCTTTCTGTGGCTCCTGGGTGACTGCAGGGGCAGACAGTGGTTTCCTGGTGCTGGACACTCAGCTGATTGCTCAAGGGGTGTTTGTGATTCCAGGCTGTGCCCTGGTGTTGCTCCACGGGCCTGGGGCAGCCCTGGGCTGGCCAAAGTGTCCAGTGGCTCTGGAGGGACAGGAGGGTGCAGTGAATTCCCTGGGCTTAATTAGCTCACGGTATTACTTAAGACAGGAGCATTTTGATCTTAAAATGAGCCAAAGTGGAGCTGAAACATAAAGGAATAAGCAATTCCTTGGAAGCTTCCTGCAGGAGCCAGCACCTTCACCTGACGAGCAGCCAAGGCAGAAACCAGACCCAACAAGGTTATGAGGATGGAAGAAAACTAAACCTTGGATAAATCCCATTAAATGCTGCTCACAGCAGAGGGAAGGGCAACCCCAACAGCCAGGGAAGGTGGGGCTGCCCCTGGATCCCTGGAAGTGTCCAAGGCCAGGTTGGATGGGGTTTGGAGCAGCCTGGGGTGGTGGAAGGTGGTCCCTGCCATGGGGATGGTCCCGAGGTCCCCTTCCAATCCCAGCCATTCCATGGTTCTGTTCCCCCTGGCAGTGCTCCCAGGTGTGGAGTCTGTCCTGTGAATAAATCCCTGACTTTCTCCTTTTCCCTCCAATGCTGGGCTCAGGCCTGTGGGGGCTTTGGAGATGCCCTGGTCGCTGCTGGCCAAGCCTGGATCTGGGGAGCTCAGCCTGCCCTGGTGAGCCCTGCTGGGGTTGGATCTCCCTTCAGCGCCTCCTTAATCCAGAAGAGATCCCCAATTATCACCAGGCAGGGGGAGGGAAAGTCTGTGTGCAGGAGCTCACAGCATTCCTGCTCTGGCTGTTCCAGAGAGGTCTCCTGGGGGTTTGAGATAGATCCTGCCACATCTCTCGAGGCACAGAACACAGCAGGGAATAAGCAGGGCCTAAGTGCAAAGTGAAAAACGAGATTTTTGGGGTTTTGCAGCGTCCTAAGTCCTTCCTAAGCAGAAAAGAGGCTTATGGATGTGCGGGATGAGCGGGGCAGCTGTGCCAGCTGGGCTCTGCCGTGTGCTCCATGTGCTAGATCTGGCTCTGGCCCTACATTAATGTGCTGATGCCTGAGCTGATTAAGAGTGTCCCTTTCTGTGGCAGCAGGGATGATTTTCCAGCTCTGGAGACTTAGGGACTCCCACAACGGTTTGGGTTGGAAGGGAGCTTAAAGCTCATCCAGTTCCAGCTCCCGCCACCTTCTGCTACCCCAGGTGGCTCCGAGCTTCATCCAGCCTGGCCTTGGACGCTTCCAGGGATCCAGGGGCAGCCACAGCTTCCTTGGGCAGCCTCAGCTTTGCCACCCTCACAGGGCAGAGGTGATAAAATCCCCTTTTTCTGGAGGGTTTTGTGTCGTCGTGAGCAGAACCTAAAAGGGGAAGTGAGAGAACTTTGTGGTGTCCTGGCTGAGTGCTGGCCACGTCCTGCTCCCTGTGCCAGGGGACACTGTGCAGGCGCCTGTGCCACCCTGCAGGTGCCTGTGGCCAGCTCCTGATGTCACCTGGTTTGTCCCCAAGCAGGAGAGCAGCCATGGCCATCCTGTTCGCTGTCGTGGCGAGGGGCACCACCATCCTGGCCAAACACGCCTGGTGTGGGGGGAACTTCCTGGAGGTGACCGAGCAGATCCTGGCCAAAATCCCATCTGAGAACAACAAACTGACCTATTCCCATGGCAAGTGAGTAACCCCTCTCCTTGGCTTGGGGGGACTTGTGGGGCTGCATGAGGGCTGGGACAAACTGGGTGTATTTGGGGGGTTTTTCTGTGATTCTGCAGTTTTTTTCCATCCAAATTCCCGTTTGGTGGAATGTGCCATCAGCTCAGTGGCTGCTTCTGTCCCCCACAACTCTGCAGCATAACCAGGATTTGAGTTCAGCTCCAGCAGCAGCACAAGGCAGTCGGTACAGAATCAAGTTTTTCATTTTTATACAATTCCAAAGTGAGCTGGAGGGTGCCCAGCCATGGAATCTTTGGAGTTTGGCTTCTGGAAGCTTCTCCTGGATTTTCTGAGCCTTGAATGTGGCTTTAGGTAAAACTGTCACCCTTCTTGGGCTGCCTGTGGCTCCTGGGGGCTCTGAGACAAGCTGTGCTCACAGATGATGTGGAGTCATCCAGAGCTGCCCCAGATCCAGCCTGCAGGACAGAGGGGCTTTCCCAGGATTTTTCCAGCTCTCTGAACCGTTGGTCAGTGTTGGTAGGACAGGGAGGAGATGCTCCATCACCCTGCACGTGGGAAGTGGGTGAGTCAATGGGAACAAACTAAAATAACTGTGGAAATCCCAAATTTAGAGGTGCTGGGGCCCATTCCAGCTCTTTTTTTTTGGAATTGGCAGCATGGCTGGATCCTCTCTGGTGCCCAAGCTGTTGTGTCAGAGCTGTTCTGAGGATGCAGGAGATGAGAGCTGGGCTGGGCTGGGCTCAGGAGCACAGCCAGTCCCTGTGGGAGCTGTTTGGGAGGCACTGCCTGCTCTGGGGCCTGACACACCTTGGATGCTGCAGCTCTTCCCTCCTGCTGGAATTCCAAGGATAAATTTCAATATTTTAAGTTACTCCTATAAGTGAAAGGAAATGACTTTGCCTTGATTTGTTCAGCCAAAAGTTGAGTTTGAGGAGTGCTGCAGTGCATTTTTAGAGGTACCTGGGCAGAATGTGGGAGCTGTGAAGCTCGATGAGCACTTGGAGTTCCTCCTGTCTGGAACCTCCCAGGGATCCTCTGCCTTGCCAGGGTCCCAGCCTATCGGCTAAAAAACTCCCTGGATTCTGTCCAAGATAGTTTTTCCTCTTCTGAAACAGGAAAAACTTTGAGTTTCTTTGAACTTCTTAAATTAATTTAATTAGTTCTTCTTGTTTTTAAGAAGATCTACTGTGTCTTTTGTATAAATCCCCAAGGAAAAGCATCAGGCATCAGGAATTCTTGGGTTACTCTCTCTCTGCCGTTGGGATCCTTCTTGGACTCTCTGAGGAGTCTGCAGGGTGGAACCAGACGAGTTTCACCTCACTCCTTCCAGGGGAGTTTTGGATGTAGAAGGATTTTTGAACTCTATTGTGGGAGCAGACCCTCATGGCAGAGACCTCTGCCCCAGCCTCACTTCCCTGGATGTGTTTATCTGTGCTGGGGTTTCCTCTTGCCAGCCCCCAAAGGCCCCACAGGCAGCAGTGGCTTCTGGAAAATTGAAATTCTGGAAATGTGGCAGCTTCCAATGAGGTTTTGTTTCTTCCTTTCAATTCCCTGCAGTTACCTGTTCCATTACATCTGCCAGGACAGGATCATTTACCTGTGCATCACTGATGATGTGAGTACTGGGGACACAGCAGCAGCCCAGGCAGGCCCTGGGGGGTTTGGGAATTTTGGTTTCCATATGCCATTATTCTTATTCAGGGCTGTTCTGAGGTGCCTTTTCTCCCACTGGAGCTACCGTAACCTCAGATACAGCTCTGAACTCAGCCTGCAGCTCAGAGCTGTGGGGTGGTTTGGGTTGGGAGCCACCTTCAAAGTCATCCCATTCCCACCCCTGCCATGGGAGGCACCCTCCAGTGCTGTGCATTGTGAGTTTGGGGGTGCAGGTGTTGGCTTTGCCCCGTTTCTGGCTCGGTGCAGGGGCTGGTGCTGCTCCAGTTGCCGGTGGCGTTTGCCTGGTGCTCCTGAAGGAGCTCCTGGAGCTGGCCCAGCCCCTGTGTCACACCCAGCCAGACCCTTCCAGCCCTGCCAGCTTGTTCCTGACCTTCTCTTCCCTCTGCTCGCAGGACTTTGAGCGCTCCAGAGCCTTCACGTTCCTGAACGAGATCAAGAAGCGCTTCCAGACCACGTACGGCTCCCGGGCACAGACTGCCCTGCCCTACGCCATGAACAGCGAGTTCTCCTCTGTGCTGGCTGCACAGCTGGTGAGACCCCCAGCCCTGCCC